CTTTTCGTGGTGATTTTCTTCCCCCAGAACCAGCTGTTGTTGCCAAGTCATCAATCCTGCTTGATGTGAAACCTTGGGATGATGAGACAGACATGGCCAAACTAGAGGAGTGTGTCCGAAGCATTCAAGCGGATGGCTTGGTCTGGGGGTCTTGTAAGTGTGGGGAGATTTCAAAGCAGGGAGAGGGAGAGGGCAGGCCCTTGGGATAGAGTATGAGTAGTGGGACTTGGAGTCACTGCTGATCTGTGAAATGTAGGCAGCTGTAATGGGGGAACTGCAGTACTTCAGTGTCTTTACATGGTCGGAAAAGGTGTGTTAGTGCAGTGGCTGGTAAAGATTCAAATACAGGTTTTAAAAGCTATAGGACTTAAGCTCTGCTCTCCTGCATCTCCCTGTACAATTCCTGATGCAGCAAACAAACACCTTTACCCGCCCACATCACTGGTTTGGAAAGGGGTGGAGGTCCACAGAAAGAAGCTTTTTCAATCAGTTGTAATGAATGCTGGGTTGCTAATTAGATGATCCATAATATGGACCAAAGGCTGTTTTTATATATTCCTGCAAATTGCTTTAAGAGATTCCACCAATAAAGGAGTACTAAATGTGGTTTGTTTTTTTTTTTTTGTTTTGCAGCCAAGCTAGTACCTGTTGGCTATGGTATCAAAAAGCTTCAGATCCAGTGTGTTGTTGAAGATGATAAAGTTGGAACAGATATGCTGGAAGAGAGAATAACAGCTTTTGAAGATTATGTACAATCAATGGATGTAGCTGCTTTCAATAAGATTTAAGTCTTGATATACCTAGAATAAATGTTGTTGCAAAAAACGTGCAGTGTCTGCGTTTGTTTCAGAATCTTACAGTAATCCAGCTCACAAATGTAAGGTTTTCTTAATGGATAAAGTAAAAACCAAAACTGAATTTCAAGGTTGTTCTAACACCTCACTGTAGTGTCCAGGAGCACAAGCAGAGCATCACTTCAGAGTTAACATGACCATGATTTTAAAATACTGAAATGCTCTTCTTCCATCTGCAGAGGAAATTGCTGCTTTGGAAATGTCTGGGATTCCTCTGGAGGGGAGGGATGGTTTTAAGGGAAAGGAACAGGGCTCAGTCAAAGTGCATTTTTTAGTGAGTAAACAGTAATAAATTCCTTTTGTTTAGTTAGGATGGTGAGTAATCAAATATACCACAGGCTTTGTTGACAGCTAAAACCCCAGTGAGAGAGAGAAACAAAGCTGAAGCTAAGTTCAAAGTGACTTGCAGTGCCCTAGAGATAAGGCCTGAGGCTACCCTGCTGCTTTCTCACCTGTTCTGTGACTTGGAACTTTTTTTTTTCCCCTTCCTGAGGCTTGGAAACATTTGCAATGAAATTGCATGCAGTTTTGTGTGTTAGTTACCAGCAAGGAATGCTGCCGAGGAGCCGCTGCCGTGCGGGCGCGGGCGGTGCCTCCGGGGGGCGCTGCGAGCCCAGCGGTGCCGCGGGTGCGGAGCCGGGAGTGGTGCGCGGGCTGCAGCCACTGCAGGCTCTGTCTCACCCACACGAGAAACTCCTGCTCGTGGCTTAAACAAGGAAAAAGCAGCTGAAAATGCAAACACATTAAAGGATATAAAAAGTAGTGAAATTAACAGCAGTTTGAGTTGTTTACTCAACTCCAGATTGGTTTCTAGATTGATTTGGACATTGCATTTAGTGATTGAAGAACTAGCAGGAATAAATCCCAAAAACTGTCTATAGGAATGATACAAATGTAGAAGCTATCAAAGTTGTGAAGCTCCTAAACAAATTCATAATTCTATGCCTTGCATTGGACTGACAGGATTTATTGTGACCATGAAATGGAATCCTTTTATGTGCCACATTGGTCACTCTGAGATGAAGATGCCCAGTGTCAGAGTCTGACAGCTGCATCTTAAGTAAGTCTTTTTGTTGTTTTTTTCACAGAGCATCTGTGTGGTTATCTGGCACAGCAGGTCCTCTTTCTTCCTGTTTAAAGGTCTGCCAACTTCAGATTATTTAAGAGCTTTGTTTATAATTTGTCTCAGAAAAAAATCTGCTTGCTAGAGGCTTAAAGCATGGTTAAAGATCTGAAAGCGAGTATTGTTACAGGCTCACTTGCCACCTTCCATAAGCCTAATTCCTAAACAGTACCCTTTCTGTGGCAATTCTCTAGCTGTTGTTTCTGCTAAATCATGGAGCTTAGTTTCACCAATTCTGTCATGGTGCTGTTAAAAGCAAGAAATTGGCAAGCACCATATCAGACAAGCAAATTATTAAAAATTCTGCCTCAAAAATATAGGTTTTATTATCTTGGCCATCACTTTTTCTAACCTCCCCTTCAATGTGCTGCTTACCTTGATACTCTTTTCTTGACTTTCAAATTAAAGCCCTAAGTGGATAAAATTGTTTGATTTATAGATGATAACTTTGTTAAAATGCAGCACTGTCATCCATGTGACCTGCCAGACTGGATTTATGTGCCTGTGAAAAATCAGCACCCTGGAATAAATAAGGCAAGTATCCCAAGTGCACCCCATAACAGAGGGATCAGTAGAAAATTCCATTACTTCAATATGCTCTATACAGGAATACTGGGAAAACAGTTTGAACAAAACTAATCTACATAAAAACCTTCAGAAACACAAACTGTCCAGGAAGAAGATAAAAGTAACTAGAACCTGTCCATTATGAAATGTGTCAATAGCTATTTCTGTAGTATTTCTTTGCATGATGTCACAGGTTCCTTTCCTTTTTCTGGCCCTTTTTTCCCATTGTGGTGAGTCAAATGAGCATTCCTCAGTCCAAGCAGCATAGAATTGTTGGTATTGTTTTGGAGACTTTTTGGAAACTGAAACTTAGAGCATTATCTGTTTTGTTTAGATATCTTGAATTACTCTTGAAGAAATGATTGAGATAATTCTGTAACTGATCTTGGTGTGAACAGTAGCAGTTACACTGCACAATTGTTAATCCACCTAATGCCATAGATCAAGGCTGATTTTGGCTTTTTTCAATTCTACCCTCTGTCTTCCTCCTGTCTGCTTCAGGCCACACTTTTTGATCCTTTATGCAAGATGGGACATATATGCTCCCCCATTTGAAAATCCAGTCTCTGTGCTGTACATAGGAACATGTGTGTGCACACAGCTGAAGAAACCTGACATGAACCTTAAATCCCATACTAGAAAGGGCCAGGACTTGATTTCACCTTCCAAAATCTTTGGGAAGGAGCTGTTATAAGAAAAGCCAGTCACCACACATTGCTGCTAAGAAAAGCAAATGATTATGCTCTTTGGAAACAAGGAAATTTTATTATTTCACTTGTACTACAGCCAGGAGAGTACATCATTCTTAGAAAGATGTCAGGGAACATGTGAAGAAAAACTGCAAAATGTTTGATTTAGGCACATATAGCAGCACAATGCCAAAATATTATGATGAGCAACTATGTACCAGGCAGCAAATGACTCAAAGGAAGAATGCTGCTTACCAGCTTTTCAGCCCAAAGGGAAGTACACTGAAATTCCACTGATCCTGCCTGACTCTCACACTCTGAAACCAGAGCCCAAAGAAATAGTTACAGACCACAGTCAGGCTGTTTCTATTTGTGCAGCTACCAATATTGGATGTGCTCATGCATATATATATATATTTTATACAAAAGCAAATCTATTTACATATAAGGCCTCAATCATAGCATAAATGCTACTGTGTTGGCAGGCCATATAAACTAAGTAAATTATCTGAAAGGCAGTTTTATTCTATATGCCTAGGCCAATAACTAGGAAAAAACAGTTCAAATTTACCCAAAGCTCTATGCTTTTACTTGCAGTAGAGTTTTGTCCCACATTCAACTTTTTAATTAAGTGGTATTGCATCAGAAATTGGTTCACTCCACATAGCATATATACATTTGCATTGGTGCATGTGTGATTCTGCAGCAAGCAACAAGTTGTAACAGAATACAGCATAACTGGGACTACTTCATCTTTCTTATGGGAGTGGACTCCATTTCCTGGATGAACTGTCTTGCCTCTAATTTGGAAAAAAAGCCCGAATTTGGCTACAGACTTGGAACAGAATACTAATGAATTCACTCCACCCATTTTTTAGGCTTGACATTAAAGCAAACAAAATGTTATATTATTTCTTTACCTTTGCTTGAAAGAGGAATAAAGAGCCATCAATAGTTGTAAACCTCTGTAGGACTAAAATTTTAAGCATAGCAAAAGAAACGTGGCACAGAAACTGTAAGAAATATTTTCACTAATTCTTTGGACATTTTGAATGAGCCTAATATGTATATGAAACATCTGCTCAGTATTTTGTACCCAGCTAGTGCTAAAAATACAGTAAGTGACCCCAAAACACAGGGTCTCCTGTCTTAGTTTTGAGTATAAGATAAAGAGCAGTGGGAGAAGACAGGTTTTATTTCCATATTTTTCTTTTTTTGACAATAGAAGGCAGCAATTCAGTGTTCTCCATCTTGGGATCCTTCTCCAGCTGCAGAGCGGAGCCACTGACAGCTTCATTTAGGTGAGATATAGCCAGGGAATTCCTCCTTGGGGCAGTAGTAGGCAATGAGGAGACTCATGACCCGGTGATGTATGGCCACAGCCTCTTGGATGAGAATGCCTCAACCAAGAGTTGTATCAGCAATGGCAAGGAGGAATATTTTTATTATGTGTTCTTTTGATATCAATGAGGTATGGAACCACAGCAAACCAACAGGATCACAACAACATTCCTCAGCAAAAGCCCAGTTAGAGTAATTCCACCTATGCTGATAACTTTCAGTTCAGGCTGTACGTGCATTGCAAGGGCACACATCCCAATCATGCATCCCTTAAAAACCTTTCCATTAAAGCAGCAAATGCAATGAAGCCAGCTGTTTACAGAAAACTGTCTAAGCAAAGATGCACATCTGACTGGCAGATGTGAAGTCAAGAACACCTCCAAATCTCCTGTCAGCTCCTCTGGGGAGAGCTGCTGGCACGAGCAGTCACTGGGCAGTCTCACAGCAGCGCGCGGGCGCGTTGTCCGAGCTCCAGAGCTGCTCGCTGACCGTGCCCGAGCGGCTCACCTCCCACAGGGCCAGCTTCAGCACCTCAGACACCGTGCTCTTCACCTGAGCCTGGAACTTCTTGCTAATCAGTACATAGAGGATTGGGTTGAGGCAACTGTTGATGAAACCAAGGCCAGTGGAGAGGGGAATCCCATCCTGCAGTAAATCATGCAGGTTTTCATCATGGTGAGCAGACAGCTCCACAATGCTGAATATATGATATGGTGTCCAGCAGACAAAAAAAGCTACAACTACAGCAGTGATGGTCCAGAAAAGCCTGCTAGAAGTCAGTACAGTTCTCCTCTTCACTTTGATAATCAGCAGCGAGTAGCAAATCACCATGGTCACTAAAGGAAAGAGGTAACCAAATGCAAGCCTCACCCAAATGAGGATGTGATGTGTCAGCAAAATAAGTTCTCTGTCATGCACATGGAAGTTGTTGTAGCAAATGGTGACATTGTTGAGGACTGTGGCTGTGTCTCTAAAGTATAAGGCAGGGCCACCAATAATTGCTGCTGACATCCAAATGACCCCACTGAGAAGGAGGGTGTTCTTTACAGTCCTGTACTTGTAGGAAAAGACGGGGTGGACGAGGCGGATGTAGCGGTCAAGGCTGATGAATGTCAGGAAGAAAACACTGGCAAACATATTAAGTAGTGCAATGAATGAGTTCATTTTGCAGAGCCACTTCCCAAAGGGCCAGTGGAAGCCCATTGCCACATATGTAATATAGAGGGGCAGGAAGAGAACAAAAATGAAATCTGCAATGGCCAGATTCAGGAACCAGAGTGTGGAAACCGATTTATCCCACTTAAAGCCCATAAACCAGATGACAATGGCATTACCTGGCACTCCCAGCAGAAATGCCACACTGTAAAAGAAAAGGGAAATAATATGGGCAATGCTGAGGGAGGACTGGGGTGACTCATCTTCCTCAGACAGATCGTAGAAATAAGAGTAGTTCTCAAAATCTTCAAATGTCATGTTGCAGAGTGGCTTTCTGGGGAAGAAAAGAAATTAAATGGTCAAAGGAGAAATGTTTTACTGCACTGTAAATAGTAAACAGCAATTCTTTCAAGTTTTTGATCATGAACCAAAAACATTGCCTTAGTCTGGCAAATCTGTCACTTTTATCTGTCACTTTTATCTGTCAGTTGCTAGCACAAAACTCCTGAAGAAATTTGGTCACAGGCATTTCAAGAAATGTTCAAATCAAAAAAGAACTTGAAATATTCAACAACTGCTTTCCTTACATTAATTTCTTAACAGACAGCACTGAGCACAGTATCACTGATAAATTTCTGGGAGACCAGATGCAAAGTTTTATTGAAGTAGGATTGTGCTGTTCTTTTCTGGTCAGGTTTCGTACTTTAGTGCTCTGTTCCTATCTGAAGCAAGTTTTATGCATTATATCTGTCTAAAATCAGAGGAGCATTAGACATCTATGTAGGAAAAAAAAATCACTTAAAATGTCAGAAAGCCATCTTCTATAAAATTTCACCCACCACCCTGCCTCAAATTATAGTTAACAAAATGACAGACAGCAATTTCTCCGAAAACTAAAAGTTCATGGGTTTATTCATCTCTTTCATATATGTCTTTGTATCAAGAAATGATGACTTTCAGGCCCATTTAACATCTTAGATTTCCCTAATACATCAAAGAATGTGGAGAAAGAAATACATAGAACATATTGCAGGTATAATACACATCATGGTGTGTTATACCTTCCACTAGTGAGCTGAGAAACAGGTAATAGATGAAAGAAAGTAAAGCTTCCCATGAACAAAAAACACACTGTAAGAGCTATAAATGGAAATATTTGTGTGTCCTTTTTTTAAGACAATTATAGGATTTTCTCAGTTTTCTTCTCTTCCAAAAGCTTCTGGAACTTGCAAGTACAGCATGATTTTTTCACATAGAAATTCTCTCTGTGGGTGGAAGGGAAGGTGAGGGGGAGGAAAAGTGCAATTTAAACCAAAACAGAGGGGGGGAAAAAGAAATTAATGGGAAAACAGACAGGAAACAGAGTTTATACAACAGAAAGAAAAGCAGTCAGAAGATATTTCACATTATTATTTCACTGTGTTTAGTTTGCAGTATAGACAAAGCTGCAGCACATCACAGGTAGCCACAGTCAGATAAAACTCTCTGCAAAGAACAAAAAACTATTCTTCAAAACTCTGTTATCATTTAAAGCTGAATAGTTTGGCTGGGCTCAGCAGCACTTAACACCTGTGCCTGAGAGCAGTCAATTAGTTCTACTATGATTTATCTTACTGCTGAATTTCGGAGCGCTATCTCCATTCCTACACCAAAATTCAGCCCGTGCTTCTGGAACTCAGCCCTGCATTCCTGCAATGCCATTAATTACAGCATGCTAGGGACAACAGGAGAGGGGTCTCCAGAGCACACTGCCTGCACAACCACATCTGCAAACTCGTATTCCTGTACTTACCTTTGCTCCAAAAAGTAGCTCACTCGGTTTGAAAGGATTACTCACACCAGTGAAGCTACGCATGTGCACACCCATTAGCAGGATTAGACTTCTCATTTGTAGATGGATAGACAGGGAAAGGAAAAAAAGGTTGTGTAATTTTATATCTCTTGATTAAAAAAATATGTAGTAAGAGCGAGCACAGCCTGTTCTGTCACGAGGCTATAATAGCATTTGTGATTTACATCAGGCTGAAAGAATGTTATTTGGTTTGCTGTCCTGATAAATGATACTTATTGGGCTGCATTTATGTAATTACATGCCCCTTGGGGGTGGATTCTGCATCAAATACCACTACCACCCATCTGAGTAATTTTTTCAAACAGCTTAACAGCTGCTGAGAGAAGAGCATAAACATGGAGCAGTACCATTAACATCTGGAACATTATATTTGGACAGTTTCAGAGGATAGTCAGATTAACAACTGGATTTTTAAGTGGGTTTGCCCATACAAAATACTGTACCTTCAAATCAAATTTATACAACTAAACAAAAAAAAATTTCCAACTATAATGACAATGACAAACATTTGCCTACTGCCCAACTATGTTAATTTTTTATTTAGCATTTTAAAGATGATGTATCGCAGGACAAAAAACACATACCCAAATAAATGCCAAATATTTCCCAGGCCTCCTGTAGTTTAAAACTCCAATGAAAGAGCACACCTTAGAATGCAATTATTTTTCCAGACTTATATTTGTCCTTCTCCCTAACTCTAGTCTTCAATGCAGGGAGTCTTCTTTAACAGTGGGAGTAAAAAAGCAGAAGGAACATTGTTTACCACTGCTCCCAGTGCACAGATGCTGAAATTAGACTCTATGGCTAGGGCTCAGCAAAGACTGCCAATTACATTTGCAATGCCCAGAAATTTTTACTTCTGACATTGACATATATGAAGCACTTCTATAGCCAGACTCGTGGTGTTAAGCCCTTTCCTAAAAAAGATAAGCAATAGGTGACTGTCAGTGGTGTTATACTGGATTACATCAGTGAGGACACAGATTTTTTTCATTAACCATAATTCAGCAGGGATGTTTCTCTGTGGTCCTGAAACACATTATCTCTTAATACATGACTCTGAAATTAATAAATTTCCAGAGTCAAAACTGTCTTGCAGTTCAAGTCTAGGTCTTGTGAAGAAATCTAGTTATATTCCTTATTCTGTCACTAATTTCCTGTATGATCTTTGACAAATGGCTTACTTTCCAAGCTGGAAAATTCTCACGAATGTGTTTGCAAATTGAGGCTCAGTAGAGAAAACAATACTTTCAGAGAGCAGTTTCTGCTTGGCTTTAAGGCAAGTGTTAGTGAGGGTAAGGGAGGTTTGGTGCAGTTCACTGGCTCAGTGTCTGCCGGTCTGGGGAGCCAGTGCATGGAAAACATTTTTTAATAAACAGGAAAGTGTGGTTAGGGGCCTGCCAATAAGCCTTGGGAGCAGCCACAGGTTACAGAACAGTGTTCTATTGCATATGGATTAATATATCCAAGTTTAGATTTCATCCTGTCCTTTTTTTTAAATTTTATTTTAAATAGTAAACACCCTGTGTAAAGTGTACGCTTAGCAGTTGTTTGACGAGTCCATTCCTGTTTGCTGAGCCACAAGCAGCTCTGAAAACTGAGCTTCCTTGATTCAGTCGCTTAATTATAAAAATAGTTGACCAGGAGGTTTCATTTCCTGTCCTCTTCTGTAAAACAGAAGTTAATTTCTAAATGACTTTATAGGAATATAACAGGATGGCTCTTGGGACTTTTAGATCTTAGGACAGAAAGCAGAATTACCAAGAAATACAGATCATCAGAAATATTTCTAAAATACAAAGCCACAGAACTGCTGAGAAGAGACTTCATCACATGTTGCATGAACAGTCTTTCTCTGAATTTCAGCAGGGAATTACAGACTTGGATCTCAGTTGGCATATTCACAGCTTTCTACTAAAAGTACTTAGAGTTCATGTCCTCTGCCACTATTATACCTAAGCCATAATGACAACTTGAACAAATGGTTAGATCTGCCTAAAATAGAACAGCTCTTGTCACACTAAGAATGGCCTTAGAGTTATGACATGGGACAGTACTTTGGAACCTATTCATGGCAATGCCACAAGCATCCTGTTTGGCCAGGGGAAGTCGTTTGACCCCTCCACACCTCAGTCCTGAGGTCACTGCAACGACTTTGGAATTAAATTACATTGGGCTTTCAGTTTAAAATAGAAGAAAACAAACAAAAAAGTTGCAATTTCCATCCACTTCACTTGAAGCAAAATCCTCCTGGGGGTTCAAAGTTCCCTGGGCACCACACAAGTTAGGACCTAACTGAATTACACTGGCAGGCTTTACCACAAATTTGAGCTCAGCCCACACAACCTCTCTCTCTCTCACATTTGGTCCTCATCACTTTTGAATTTTACAGAAAGGTCAAAGGGAAGAGTTTATTCATTGTCTCTGTTAGTTAAAAGTTAACACAAATAATTGAGTGGTAGTCCCCAAATCTATTTTTTCAGGGTGACAAACAGTGTTAAAGCCTTTGGCCAGCTAAATTGGTTTCAGAGGTCACAGTAATGGGTCCTGACTTACTAGGAAAATTATGGTTTGGAGGGTTGGCTGTCTCAACAGTTCAGTTCATAGAGGAAAGATATTACACAAACCCTCCTATCAATGTCTTTTTGAACAATTGTGAGGACATCACATTCCATGTGTATTATCTGTGGCTAAAGGAAAGCTTATTTGATTGCATCACTTCTCTCATTTGCAAGAGTCAAAAGCTGGAGAACAACTAGTTTCACAAAAGGTCACTTAGAGCCTGCCTGTCATATTGTGGCAGCAAGTTTATCCAGGTATTGAATTCAGTTGCAAGCCCTCATAATTTTTTCTTGGAACTTTTGAGGTGACAAATTTTGAATTTATCTAGCTTCAAAAAACATAAACATGAAATCCACCTGGTAGTTTATCTGTAAAGTTCAAAACTCAGAAGGCTGAGCAAATTCATTAGAGGTACACATGTATTTATGGTAAGCACTTTACCAAGACATAGGATACATTTGAAAACAAGGAATATTGATGAAATTCAGACTGTCATAGATTCACATTTCTCCCTCAAAAGGACAAAGCCAAGATAACCACTTACCTTTATGCAGAAACATTCCTATAACAGGAGATGCCTGATATACTCATACTACAAAATTAAATCAGAGCTATGCTACAGATTAAGCCTAGAGCTGTCCCCGCAGACAAAGCTACCAGGTAAGGAGCATTCTAAACTGGTATACACAAAAGCAGAATCAAGGCTTGTGCCTATGTTCTCTTTCACAGAGATGTAAACAAACAATTGTTTTTGACCATCCTTTTAATGGTGATTAGATATATGGTACCCTAATTACTTCATATGTCATCCTGAATTCAATAATGGGTCAAACAGATACGACATGTGACTGGAAATGTTGTTTTTGAGCCACAATATAGATGTATTTGTTCTAGCAGATAAGAAAGGAATGCAAATAACAATCATTCTCCATTATGTCTCAGAAAAGCAGTGTTAGAAATGTATTTGCAATGTACTAGCAAGACATGTCCTAGAACTTAGGCCAAAACCAACTTTGTTCAAGCAAGGCCAAACATGACCCTGTTAGTCATAACACGCCACCTCATCTGTGGGATTGAAGTCCTTTGACCAGATAATAGCCTGAAAACACTTCACACAAAGTGAGTGCTACAGGATTAACAAACTCGTATAGCACAGACTCAGTTAATACTGGTAAATCTACAATTTCAGACCAGCAGTTTTGCCAACACAGAAATGTTAAACAAAAAAATGGAAAATCCAACTTCATATCTAAATAAGGCTGCTATAGTAGTAAAAGTATCACAGCAGTTCTGGCCTGAATATAAAATATCTTCCTGACAATGGCTGCAATTGAGCAGTGTCCCATTTCCACAATCAGAGACCTGATAAATTTCTGCAACCAGCAACTGCATCTCATTGAAACTGATTTATTTTCAAGCTGATCCCAAGCACCAAGTCTTCCATTCCCAAAAATGACAAAGAAACCCAGAAGTCCCCAGGATATGCACTGGTGAAGGGGAGGACACTTGTGCTCTCCATCGATAGCACTTGTTTCTGCTCTTATTCCCTTCTAAAAGTAAGCTATAAGTAAGAATATAAGCTAAAAGTAATTATATAATTTTTAATATTTCTTTGGAATGTAAGGAGTGGCTGTAGCAACTGCAAATCACATAACCACAAAATTTGTACATCAGATTCAGGAAAATGACGGGTCACATCTGTGAAACACTTAAAAGTAGCACCATTTTTAGAGAAAAAAAAATCTAATATTCTTACAAAAAAATATAGACATTTAGCTAAACAGTGACACTTGAGATTTAAAAATTGCCTGATGTATTGTATATGTCAGCCCTGCCAAAGTATTTACATAACCAGTCATAATGCTTCAGTATTCATAACCCTTACTGAAATGAGGTTCAGGTGAGAAGTATAATCAGTCTGGTTGGCTGTAGAATGCTGAGAATGACCCACAGGAAGTCTCTGATCAAACCAAGTGCTAAATCCAGAGTCCCTGCCTAGTGGCTCAACCACAGCCCTGTCCGACCTTCTCAAACTTAGCACTGTCCCTTCTCTCATGGTGAAGGGCAGAAACCACAGCTTCACCTCTGGGAGACCTTTCCCTTCCTGAAGGGAGGCTCCCTTCTGTGCCATCATGCTCAGTGTGGTGGAGGAAGGCAGCACTTACCTGGGCAGCCCCTACTGCTCCTGGTCCATTTTCTCTGCAGGGAAGAGAAAAGCAGCCTGGATTTGCACCCTTTGCTTGCCATCCCACAGACTGCTGTGTCTCAGGACACACCTCAGAGCCAGCAGGCACACCATGAATCCTACTGGCTGTGAGCTAACACACTGATCAAGTGTTGTTCCATGGAAGCTTCACATGTTTTCTAGTCCTCCTCAAGTGCCAGCAGGATTTTCTTTGGCTAAAAGCCACCATAATAACTACATACCTTGAGCAACACAGGTATCTGATTTTAAAAATTTAAGTGCTTC